TTTATTTATTTATTTATTTATTTATTTATTTATTTATTTATTTATTTGGAAGTTTTCTTATGGTTCCCAGCGATCTTCAATTCTTAGTGGTCCCACCCTTGTTTATTCCCCTTGCCTTAAAGTTGAACTGGATCCAGTTAGACGTGCTTCTAGAAGATAGAATTTGGCAAAAATGGCAGAATGCGTCTTCCTGGTTAGGTTACCAAGGATGGTGGTTTCATCTTGCAGGCATTCTCTCCCTGGCTCTTCCTAGGTGAGGGCTCTGATGGAGAGGGTGAATGAGGGCAAGAGCTCAGGGCAGCCTCTGGCCGAAGGCCTGTGGGAACTGAGGCCCTCAGGCTGATAGCCTCCACGGAGCCGGGTCCTGCCAACAATGGGTAAGGGTGTTTGGATGCAGATCTTACCCCAGTAGAGCCTAGAGTGACTTTGCCACCCCCGCCCCCCATCAATGTCTTAATTGAAACCCTGTGAGTAGGGCAATCATTCATCCTGGTTTGCCGGGGGCGAGAAGTTTCCTGGGACGTGGGCCTTCCAGTTTTAAAACCTGGCAAAGTCTTGGGCAAACCAGGATGAGTTGATGAGATAGTAGTTGTGAGCTAATAGCTGTGTGTTGTTTCCAGATGCTAAACGTGAGGGTAATTTGGTAGGCAGGGGTAGGAAACTAATACACGTCTATTCAGGATCCACCTCAGGCATAAGGTGTCACAGGAAAACCTCTGATTAGTAAGTGGTGCTTAGAGGTCCTTCATCAGATCCCCTGCAGTATTCTGTACTTTATGACAGCATCTGAAACTCTTCTTTCTGTTGCACCAGACCAGAAACACTCTGAACGCAGGGACTATGTTTATCTCCAAGGAAATCTTTGCAATATTCAGAGCAGATATCACAGTACTGGAACTGAATGATGTGTGCATATGCCCTGGCTGGCTTACTTAATACTCTTCTGTGTACTATAAAAAAACGTCATTACTTAGGGAGACGATGCTTTATAAATCAAAAATACATTAGCTCAAGTAAATTTTGATCTTTTTGCATTATGACAAGATTTCTTGCATCTTTTCCGTGTTGCGAGAAAAATAAAAACTTGCTCCTTTTTCTTTGTTTTGTTTTATTTTTAAGCCAGAGCTGTTTTCACAAATCCGACTCCTCATTTTGTGGTTAAGGACACGATTAAGGAATCAAAGGACTTTGATTTTGTGATCAAGGTATTTCAGAATAAATTGACACCTGTGTTGAAGTAACAAGAAACTCATTACCAATAATATAGAAGTAACTTCAAACTCTGTCTTCATTTCACTAAGAAGCATGGATATTCATCTTTGTGTAACGATGATTCAGTAAAAGAAACAGATATGACAGGGGCACTTGGGTGGCTCAGTCGGTTAAGCATCTGACTTCAGCCTAGGTCATGATCTCACCATTGCCTAGTTTAAGCTCCGCACCGGGCTCTGCGCTGACAACTCAGAGCCTGGAGCCAGTTTGAGATTCTGTCTCCCTTTCTCCTCTGCCCCTCCCCCACTCACACTCGGTCTGTCTCAGAAATAGACGTTAAAAAAAAAAAAAAACGATTTGACAAAATGGGAAAGCTTTATAAAGGATCGGTTGTGTCTGTCATTGGTAGACTTGCCTAGAGATCTGAAAATAGGGTTTGTAACAGACAACATTCAATCCTATTAACTTAATTGACGAAAACACCAAGTTATATGATTATTATTCAGTTCAGTCTCTAGGGGCCACATTCCTTTTGTTTAGTTTGAGCTCCGGGCAATTGCTCTTTAAACCTGTGCACGCAGTTATGTCTTAGCAAAGAGTGAAGAGTGTGGCTACAAATTGCACCAGTGCCATATTTCTGCAAGCAAAACACATCTTACATTTTTCTTTTGTTTCTTGTAAAGGTGTTTTTATATAATATGAGTCAATTATTATAGTCTTTCCATATATAGTCTAATGACTTATTTAATTTTTTAATGTTTATTTATTTTGAGAGAGAGAGGGAGCATGAGTAGGGGAGCTAGGGGAACAGCAGAAGGAGAGAGAGAATCACAAGCAGGGGTTCACAAAATCCCGACACGGGGCTCGAACTCACGAACCATGAGATCATGCCCTCAGCCAAAATCAAGAGACGCTTAACTGACTGAGCCAGCCAGGCGCCCCATGATTTCTTTCTTTTTAAGAGTTTACTTTCTCCAATGCCTGAACAGAGTATCAATGAAGTTTGCTAATATAAACCCCACCGGACCACAAATTCAACCCCCCACTCCTTTTGTTGGGCTTTATTTGTTGACTTACTGCTTCTTGATCTTCCTTTGGTTCATTGGGAGCTATTTTCTACACTTTTTGGTGGGAGTAGGTAAAGGAAGGAAGATTTTTTTTTTTTAATGTTTATTTTTGAGAGAGAGAGCATAAGCAGAGGAGGGACAGAGAGAGAGAGAGAGAGACAGAGACAGAGGATCCCAAGCAGGCTTCAGGCTGACTGCAGTGCCCAATGTGGGGCTCGAACTCATGATCTATGAGATCATGACCCAAGCCAATGTCAGATGCTTAACCAACTTAGCCAGCAGGTGCCGCAGGGAAGATTTTTTTTTGTTTTTAATTAGTCACAAACAGAATGAAAATAAAGGTTTTATTAAATGGCAGAGTGTCATGAGTGTTGGAGAGAGATGATATCATACAGGGATGCAGCAAATAGGAAATGTGAAAAAGAAAATTCTTATATTTCAGAAAATTTAAGGGAAGCAGTTACTGCATAAAGTGAGATGTTGGCCTCAAGGCATTTTTATAAGTAAATAAGCCAAACATTTGTAGCTTTCTAGAGCATAAAATATAGAGAATATTTAACATTTTACTGCTTTATAAGAACCAAGTATTGATGTGTTTATTATATCTAATATGAACACTTTAAATGTTCATATTATATTTTCTTTGCAAACTTTCATTGAAAGGGAATTTGGTTAACAGTTTAAGTTCTTTATTAGGTATTTGAGACAAGTTACAAGTGATGTCCTGTGCAAAAAAAAAAAAGAATTTATTTTATAGTTTGTAAAACATTAATATTTCTTGTTCTCACTTTAAAGTTTGCACGATGCTTCTGAATCTTCATCTGTTATTCTAGCCTCTTACTTTTCTATGGAATTTACAGTCTTTACCTCATACAACCTATGAAAAATGCTGGGGGATTACTACTAAATAAAGTTTGAAACTTACTCATTTCTGAAAAGGATGTGTGCAATCCTGTTTATGGATTAATTCTCCCTTCAGAGAGAGCTATGTGTTTCCTTGTGTCAAACTACATCTTAGAACGCTAGTCAGAATGTATGTTTCCTATGGTACATTCTATTAAGTTAGCTGTTAGTCGTCAAAGATAGTGTGCGAGTTAGAATACATTGTATTTAGAAAGCTAGAGATTTAATCTCTCAGATTATATTATATGTTTCAAGTTTTATGCCCCCCCATCATAAAGGAAATGATATCTGGGGTATTTCAATAATACCCAAACTGTGCATTCAATTCATGGCAAATTAGGCGGAACTGGATCTTACCTACTGTTAGCTTCCCTTCCCTATCTTGCATTAATGGAAGTTGTACTAAATAAATACTCTCCAGTTGAACTAATTAAGCCCCCCCAAAAGTATGCTCAAAATCATGAGTTAATGTTCTATTTATATTTTTCCTACCATTTCTATACAATTAAATAATATTCTAAATATTAAAAATAGTTATCAACCTGAGATCATTGCAAGAGGTCGGATTCATGCTAAGAAAGTCAAGAAATTTGAAATTTGGACACATTGATGATATGTTCACACACTAACATTAGCTCATGTTGCTAATGAGATGAATATTTTTAGGTAAATAAAAGAATAATTGTGACAATAGAAAAGCTGCCTCAGGCCACTTTTCTCTACGTATCGATTTTGCTGAATCGTCAAGTTTGTTTTACTTCTTGAATTCCACATAAAGTAAGGTGTGTCCTTGGTCCCCTCACAGACTATACAAATTCTGCCCATAGCCCAAGTTCTAGTTTAAAAGCTAGAACTTGCTTCTTAGTTTAAATTGCTTCCCAGAAATTTCTTGGTGGCTGCACTGTCCTGGATGCTTCTATGACACAGTCCTCTGTTATTAGCTACTATTCATTTCAGTTACGTATTGACTTACTCATCTGTTAGGCAGGGTAGCGTCCACATTTTTGTGTGAATAAAATTACCTCGGCAGCTTCTGTACTTGTCTGTCTGCCTGGAAAGATGTAATTTAACAGATCGAGGATGATCTACAGAAATCTCCCCATCTTAGAGGACCATGTACCCATTCTGTTCAACTTAACCTACTTGCTCTTATGAAATATTACTTTCTCTATTTCTGCCAAACACACGCTGAGGACTTTATTCTCCTGCACCATGCCAAAAACTCATGTATTTTCTGTAATTTTTTTCCAACATCTTGTGACACTGCTTGGCATCTTGGAAGACCCAAAAAGTAGTAGGCTGTAGTTATTTTATTTCAATCTTCAGTTTGTTCACTGTGCAAACTCCTTCCTAAGTGTATCGTAAGCGTTCTGCTTTATGACCATGATCATCTCATTGAATTAAATTTAATTTGATAATTGTGTGGATTTAAATCTTGTAACAAGTCTTTAAATCTTTATTTCCACATGCGTGCATGGTTTTATTTTATTTTTTTTCATTTGTATGTTGCTTAATAGGATCGTGTTTTCAAGTCTATTTTAGTAAAGTAACGTGTAAAATAAAACTGAGACCTTATGCGTTTGAAATGAAAATAAAAGGCATATAGATCAGAACAGGAGAAATAAGACTTTTTGTTTATAAGTGACATAATCATATGTAGAAATGCTGAAATAATTAAAAAAAAAAAACCTCTTGTAACTAATAAGCAATTGTAGCAAGGCTTCAGGATACAAGGTTAAGATATAAAATTCAGTCACTTTCCTATATACCAGCAATGAACAGCTGGAATTTGAAATTAAAAGTACAATACCATTTATAATAGCACCCCCCCCAATGAAATACTTAAGGGTATAAATCTAACAAATATTTATATGAAGAAACTAGAGGTATAAATCTAACAAGATTCATATGAAGAAACTAGAAAACTCTGATTAAGTCAAAGAACTGAATAAAAAGGTATTCCGAGTTAATAGATACAAAGACTCGGGGCGCCTGGATGGCTCAGCCAGTTAAGCATCTGACTCTTGGTTTTGGCTCAGTTCATGGTTTCATGGTTTGTGAGTCCAAACCCTGCCTTGGGGTCTGTGCTGGCAGTGCAGAGCCTGCTTGGGGTTCCCTCTTCCTCCTGCTCTCTCTGTCCCTCTCCTTCTCTCTCTCTCTCTCTCTCTCTCTCTCTCTCTCTCTCTCTCTCTCTCTCTCAAATAAAGAAACTTAAAAAAAATTTTTTTGAAGAAAAAAAAAGACTCAGTATTGTCAAAATGTTAGTTTTTTCCCCCCAATTTGATCTATACATTCAATGGAATCCCAGTCAAAATCATTGACAAACTGATTGTAAGTTTAAATGGAGAGGAAAAGCCCAAGACTAGCCAACACAATCTTGAAGGGCATATGAGGGAAATGTCTTCCTTTCTCTCAATTTTGCTGTGAAACTAAAAATTTCCTTTAAAAGTAAAGTCTCAACAAGAAAAAAGTAAGTTTTAGGGGAGCATGGGTGACTCAGTTAAGCCTCCTGCTTCAGCTCAGGTCTTGATCTCGTGGTTCATGAGTTCGAGCCCCACATCAGACTCTGTGCTGACAGCTCAGAGCCTGGAGCCTGTTCTGATTCTGTGTCTCCCTCTTTCTGCCCCTCCCCATTTATGCCCCCCCTCTCAAAAATAAACATTAATTTTTTTATGTTTATTCATTTTTGAAAGAGAGAGACAGAGCACAAGCAGAGGTGGGGTGCCCCTCAAAAATAGACATTAAAAAAAAAAGACGAGTTGTTGCCAAAAGTTCATAGAAATGACATAGTCTAAAGTATGTTCAAATAATTGAATCTTCAATATACACATTTCTCCTGTAGGCATCTGGCAGAAAGAGAAGCACTGAAATTGTCAGAGGATCTACTCACTACATGTAAGTGATAAACTTTTGTGATGAGCTGAGTAAAAAACCAGGGCAAAGTTATTTCAGTGACCTCAGAGATGTTTCCTTCACTTAGGGTCATCACATGTAAAGTTTACCTTCAGTATAACAATGAGACTCAGAAATTCCCATTCATGCCCAGTTCCTTAATCACTCTGATTCCATTGTAGGCAAGAAAAAAGACAGGAGAGAACAGGTCAACACTGTGGTAATAATACTTTAAAGAATACTTTCCCATAAGAAACAAGAAATTGGGATGGTACATTTCATGGTTCTTTTCTATCTCTGCAGCCAAATGAAATTATCCAACTAAGTATAGCCTTTCTGTGGAGTCTTCACCCTCAAAGATGTTACGACTCTATTATCTTCTCTCTCTTTCTCAGTATTGGCCTTCCAAATTTGTGATGATGTGTGCATTTCAAAAACGTTTTCCAAACACTGCACTCAGTAATGGACCATTTGTTTAAGAGGGTCAGAGTAGTTCAAACTTCATAACGTGTATAAATGTGTAAGAGTGGGTCAAATATTACCTTACACTTCTATAACCAAACGCAAGTTATTATGGTTATACTTAAAGGGAGGTTATTGTGACCTTGGTTCCCATATCTTAATAAATTATTACCATATTCAACAGTGAAAATTCAAGCATTTGATCAGAGGTCATTCTTGAGTTTTCATTTTCATCTAGGAACTAATTTGACTTCTAATATGTAGAAATCACTGAGTGCCCAAATCATTCTAATATGTAGAATCTCACTAAGTGTCCAAATTCCTGCGTTATTCTTTAATGAAGGAAAGAACATGATTCTTAAGTTCTTCAGACTTCCAGTTTAGACTTTTACATATATTGATAAGGATTTATAAATACAGGAATGACAAGCTCTGTTAGACATCATACAGCTTATTTTATGAAAGATAACTGTCTTAAAATGAATATATCTTAGTCTGGAAGAACTGAGATTGAAACACTTTCTCTGGAGAGGAAGTAAAATAAGTAGAATATGCATAAATATTAATATGTCCATTTTTAAAATTATTTTTGACTATCTGGGTTGAAAGAATAGATACTATGAAATGGAAATAACAGGTTTGGTAATCACCCAAACCTAGGAGCAAACCCAGGCTTGAGCCTTTTCTAGAAACTTTTGGAATCTTACGTTATGTGAAATTTTTCGAGATTCAATTCCCTGATAAGGAAATAATACCACCCAATTTTTTTTTTTTTTTTTTTTTTTGCTGGGGGGTGGAGAAGTGAACAAAATAATAATATATACATAATGTGTTCAATACGTGTAAAGTTTTCCTTCCCTTAGCTAAAGCCGCTATCATGGATTAGCATCACTGTTCTCCTGAGTCTCTAGTTTAGTGGGCATTATTGGGACTTATGTTGGTTTTATGTAAATAGGCAACACAATGTGTTGTTAGAAACGTAGGATGTAGATTCAAATGTCCTGATGTCAAGTTCTGCCTTGAGAACACTTTTGCTGTGTTTGTTGGACACATGACTTAAATAATGCTGGTGATGCTTTCTACTAAATCGTAGGTGTTTGTGAGCTCAAATGTGATAACAAAGGCAGACACTCTTTGCAAAACACAAAACTTTAGTCACTACGTCTCAGTCTAAGAAGCTGAAAAACATTAGAGATGTATTTCTACATGAAGGCTAGGCTAAATAACTGAACAATTCTGTTGTTTTTTCTACCTAACAGATAATACCCAACAAGGTTCAATTGTTACTAATTGGCATTAATAATCTGTGTCCTGATCAAAGAAATTACTATGATATGTAGACTTATTTATGAATATATGCACCATCACATGGATTCACCTGTTTGAAATCAGATTCCTCAGGTTCCATGGTATCCTGGTGTCAAAGCTTGAACTTTGTGAGATGTTTTCAAAATTTATGAATGATTTAGAGCAGTCATTTAACATTTGAAACCTATGAAATAAGAATCTTTTAAAATAATTGTTTAGCTTTTTTTTTTTTTTATAATTTTTTTTCAACGTTTATTTATTTTTGGGACAGAGAGAGACAGAGCATGAACGGGGGAGGGGCAGAGAGAGAGGGAGACACAGAATCGGAAACAGGCTCCAGGCTCTGAGCCATCAGTCCAGAGCCCGACGCGGGGCTCGAACTCACGGACCGCGAGATCGTGACCTGGCTGAAGTCGGATGCCTAACCGACTGCGCCACCCAGGCGCCCCTTGTTTAGCTTTTCTAACCAAGCTAAATGGACATCATAAGATCCTGTGAACTGGGCATCATGCCTTTATTTTTGTTTCCCCACTTTTTTTTGTTTACATGGAAGCTCTACCCCCAACCTGGGGCTTGAACTCATGACCCCAAGGTCAAGAGCCACATGCTCTGCTGACTGAACCACCCAGGCACCCCGAGACATCTTCTCTCTGACAGAAGAACCCAAGATGCAGATAAGTCAAATAAGTTAAAATTTATATGGTCAGTGAGTGGAAGTCTAAGGGTAGAGCCTATGTTGCCTGTTCTGAGATAAAATGAAATGTTCACAATGTGAATATCGTAAATAACACATTCCCCCTACAGTCCCCAAAGCAGGCCTCTGATGAATGTGACTCTGACGCCTCACTCTTTGTGCTCAGGATGTGCCTCTGTGTGACCCTGAGTAATCTCAGTAAGTGGATTCTGTTTAAATAGAAGAATATGATGAGATGAAAAGAAGGAAGGTGGGAGAGAAGGTGATTCCGAACGTAGAACAAGAGACATTTCATGAAAAATTGATCACCAACAAAAATGAAAATAGAGGGGCGCCTGGGTGGCTCCGACGGTTAAGCATCCGACTTCGGCTCAGGTCATGATCTCACAGTTCACGAGTTTGAGCCCCGCATCAGGCTCTGTGCTGGCAGCTCAGAGCCTGGAGCCTGCTTCACATTCTGTGTCTCCCTCTCTCTGCCCCTTCCCTGCTCATGCTCTGTCTCTCTCTGTCTCAAAAATAAACATTAAAAAAAAAAATGAAAATAGATGCAGCTCTCTGAAACAGGGATGCTCCATTATCTTGTTTTACCAAAAGATCCAGTTTAAATGTTGTCTCTAAGGAGACACGTAAGGATTTTTGGTTGCGTGCAAAGCGTAATCTATATTCAGAATATTTATGAAATTAAAAAAAAAGATTTGGGGAAAACTTATTTCTTTATTTCTTTTTAAGTTTTTTTTTTAATTTTATTTTTGTGAGTGGGGGAGGGGCAGGGAAACATTTATTTTTATGGTTTTTTAGTTTTATTTTTGAGAGAGAGTGTGAGTGAGGGGGGGCGGAGAAAGTTTATTAAAAGTCAAAAGTCTGTGTGATATTCTGGGAAAACAGTTTTAAGCGGGAAGTGAAAGACAAGTTTGACTTCAGTCAATCCTTAATGCATTTTCACAGTCACTTAAAAGAGGCAGATTTATGTGTGTGTGTTTTGGTTCTATATATTGGCTAAATGAATATCAACAATTTAAGTTTATAAAAATCCTTAGGACACTTAAGGGTTCACACGTCACTTAGCTTAAAAACCAATCACATTTTACTATTCCTTCTCCTTGCTTTTACCCACCCGTGTTACACACACGTAGGCACGCCCTATGGTGGGGTTTGCAGGGGTGAGAGGGTACAAAGGGCACTTTCAGCAATGGTTACTCTGGAGAAAGAGCAGGTCAATAGTAAGATGGACTAAAGGACCAAAAACTATCTTGACTGAATGGTAGTGCCCAGAACGGTAATGTTTGCTCTTGTATCAGCCAGGTATTGAAGGTGTTAGGTATTCGTATCTGATTAAGCTTGATAACCATATATTATTATGTCACATTCCATAATGAGAGTAACAACAAGTCATTTGGGCTTATCAGCCAAACCTGAGTACTGCCACGTCTTGTTAATATCAAGGGACAATGTAACTTAGGAAAACAAAACCTTAACTGTCAGCATTCATTCTTTTTTGTGGGCACATCGGGGAATGGCGTAATAAGATCCTAGACCCTAGTCAATGTAGTATTTTCTCTGTTGGGGACTGTGGCAAGAACCGAAAGGGAAATTTTCATTAGCTACACAACTATTACTGTCATAAATTACTGCCAAAGGTAGGGGCACCTGGGTGGCCTAGTTGGGTAAGTGCTGGAGTTTTCATTTAGGCTCAGCTCTTGATCTCCTGGTTCATGGGATCGAGCCCTGCATCAGGTTCTGCGCAGACAGCACAGAGTTGCTTGGGATTCTCTCTCTCTCTTCCCCCCACCCCCCACCTCCTGCTTACTCTCTTCCTCAAAATAGATAAATAAACATAAAAAAATAAATTACTGCCAAATCTAAAAAATAGAGAAAACGCTTCCATACAGGCAGAAAGGCACTGGTTGGCCATTTGCCTTTTTGTAGACTTTGAATAGGTGAGAGCCTCACATTAAAAATAATGGAGTTTCTTTCTTTCTTTTTTTCTTTTTAAAGAAGAGGGGGATATGAAGAGTTCTATCCTCTATGGCTCTTAATTTTCTTTATGTAAGCCAATGTGCTGATACGCCTGGGTGACACAAACACATACCCACCAGACTTGCACCTGTTAATTCAGTGTTGATCTCATTAACAATAACTGGGTTTTCATGAGAAATAAAAAAAAAAAAAAAAAAAAAAAAGAATTTCCCTTCTGTTCAACCACTTTTTTACAAAGCACCTTTTCTCCATTCTGTTGCCTTTTTAAAATGTCTACGTCAGGGTCTGGAACCTATAGTTGCTGAGAACTACTCCTTATCTGAATCCCATCTCTACCCAGATATTTCCTTCGAAACGGGAAGGGCCCAAAAGTCTGGCTGCAGGACCCCACACTATTGGCTCAAAGAAGCCTGAAGGAGATCTGCTCTGTCACCGCCTCACGTGCACTGAGTCTGTCATGAGAGGTCTACTGGTCCAAAGCCTTCCAATTTCTCCCGAGTCTGGTCTGGCAGGTCCCACAGACGAGCACTCTTGTCTACACGTGATACTTCCCTCCTCTGTG